AATTGTCGTTATATCCGCAGTCGTTATTAGCGAAGTTGACTGTACCTTGTTAATGCCTTTTATCTCCTCTCCCTGGGTTACACTTGATCCATAACTCATAACCACGATAACTAATTACTTGAACTAACATAAGTGCAGTACAGCGGGGAGTACGCGCGTGCGATCTTCATCCTGCTATCAAGCAGGGACCCTAGAGTACAAAGCCATGCACGAATCCTTGCTATCAGTATCAGCAATAGTACATAACCCCTATGTAGTACTCTTGGTATCAGCAACGACCCTACGCACAAATAACAAATGTTGCTCTACAACTCCTACCTAGAGTAGACTACGTCACGTGGGGCTTTGAATAAAAAAGACTCTACATGTACAGTCATGTAGATGATCTAGTCTATACTAAGTAAGTACATGTACTAGATATGTAGTCTAGAATCATGACTGTAGATCTACTATTTTTTTTTTTACGGGGTAACGGCCTCTTTTACGGGAAAAATAAAGTCATGTAGACGTGAAAAAAATTGAGATACCATGAAAGTTAAAATAGATCTACTATTAGTACTAAGTACTAGACATGTACATGACATAATCAATGATCATAGATCTACTGCAGTACTGGTACTGAGTACTAAGCTAAGACGTAAGACTAAGAGTCTAAGTAGACATCTACTAAGTACCGTACTGGCAATATAATGTTGCCGCGGTGAGGCCATGAAGCGTTACATTGGCACATGTTTGCCGCACGCAGGGCGTTACATGCAAAGTCGCACAGGAGCCGTTACACAGGTTTCTATATTGCCGCAGTCCTTTTTTTGCTATTGCCGCATCACTTTTTTGCTATTGCCGCATCATTTTTTTGCTTTTGCCGCATCAGTTTTTCTTTTCATCCACATTGAAGGCACAGAAATTAGACTTCTGCATTGTCACAAGGAATCTGGTAAACACATCGCTCTTCTTCGCAAAACGACCTCGGGAAAGAAGAAACCATTGAGATCGCCAACCACTGAATGATGCTTGGGCGTGATTTTCTTCACGCCGAAGGCGAATAGAGACTTCTGCATTGTCACAAGGAAACTGGTTAACACATCGCTCTTCTTCGCAAAACGACCTCGGGAAAGAAGAAACCATTGAAATCGCCAACCACTGAATGATGCGCCTTCGAGTGTCAGGACTTCCTGCTGCGTCCAGTTTTGAACTTTTCAGCACGCGGTACACGTGCTTTCACAGTTTTCAGCCTTTTTTTTGCAGTGCAAACTGCAATGAAAAGATCGCCGCACCCCGCCGGACGCGCGTTACGAACTCAACGAAAATTTGTCGCACTAGCCTGGTCGCGCGTTACGCCGCACCCCCCTGCGTTACGCGTTACGCGGCAACATATATTGCCGGTACTACTAGACCTCGACAATAATAATACCGATCGCCCCCCCCCCCCCCGCTACATGTACTTAGTCTTAGATAGACCTTCCAGTGGCCAGGCTTCTGCGTGGAAATACACGTCATGCACTGCTATGCATTGCTGTACTGGCTTTGGGGTTTGGGGTTTCTCGCTGTGACAGACTCAGTGTCGCATAACCATGATATCTAGCTACTTACTACTACTAATGCAGTAGTGCATGTCTTTGCGCAGTCATAATACTAAGTCCTCCGCTGGGGAAACGTTGCAAACTGATCGTCTCGTCGATTAGTGTAGCGCGCTTGCAGGGAACAGCGCGCCGACATTAGCACAATAGCCGTTCAATGGCGGAGAGTTTAGTTGACAGTCACGTCCTCTCTAGTGGTCCTTCCGAAAAGACAGGTGTGGTTCTCTAGACATTCGTTTACGTTGGCAAGAACAAGCCGTTATGATAGACGTAGTTCTAGCATTGCTGGTCAGTGAACGTAACTAACTCCTTATCGCTTAGAATGTTTACCCTGTGAGCAGGCTTGGTGACATCGATTGTCTCCAATATCAGGATTCAGGCACCACTAGTAGATCGATCTACTAGTCGTCCGGGATGGAGCATTCGGAGATGGTGATTATCTGAGTGTTTATGCATTCGGACATCGCAAGTAACGACACTAGACTCGTAAGGTAAGTAACAGTTCAGTGGTGGGTACAATTATGTATAATACATGTACATGTATAACCAAGTCCAAATCCGTTGATCCCCGAGCTGCAGAGAGTGCTCAATGTCAGAGACAGAGCTTAGTGCATAGCAGACTCAGCGGAGGACGGTCAGGTTGGTTGTAACTCTGAGTTTCATGCCGTTAGGCAATCATCAGACAACTGATACTCGGGTCTACCCAACAGTATGCTGTCCCTGCGGGAATTTGCGGAAAAATTTCTTGAAAACTTGCGCAAGAAGTTGCGGCAGAAAACAACAAAAAATGCGGCGAAAAGTGCGGAAAGATGCGGAATTTGTCAGGAATTCGCGGGCTTATTTGCCGAAAATTGCGGATTTGGACCAAATCACGAGGGTGGCAGGCAACAGGCAGGTGTGGGCATGAAAGCCGCGCGGAAAGAGGCAGTGTACAGCAGATGGGTGGAGGTGCCAGGAGGATGGCGGGCAATGGGCCAGTGAGATCGCTAGGGGGTCGTTGGGTGACGGGCAGGCGTGAGCAGAGTGGCATAGCCAACAACAGGCCAAGGCATTGTGTTATTAATAATTGATATTGGGGTGCTCAGGCAAAGTGCAGTGCAGTACTTGGTCAGCTCATTTGATAGGTGTGAAATTTGCGAGGCGGAACTTTTTCTCATGCCTGCATTTCGAGATCATCTCAGACCGCTTGCTGACCGTTACACGGAATGTGCGGGAGAAGAGCCGATCATACATATGTGAGTAAAAAAATGCAATCTATGTACCGCGGAAAAATTCCACATCCTGACTACACCCAAGAAGCTCCTGCTCAAAAATATGTCCATGCGTTTTTAGCCTGCGGATGCACTCATCTGCGGGCACGTTTACAGTTATGAGCCTGTGAGGTCGTACTATCGTACAGTAGTCTTGAACCCTGGTTGTTTGGCCTTTGTCTTTGGGTACTCATTCCAAATCACCACAGTAACGCCGTATACTCACCGAAAACTCCGGGCAGCTCTGGCCGCCACCCGTGGTCCTGTGAACTGCAGCCTCACGTTTCACTTCCTGCGGGCACCTGACAAATGTGGATTTGCCTGTCGTGTGAATCGCCTATAAGGCTTCACTCCCTTCCACCTGTATAGACCCACAGCACACCTCTACCACTAAGATATATGTGATTTCCCACTTACACCTTCTCACCTCATCTCATCACCATCACTCCCTATTATTAGTAAGAACTCATGCCACCACCCGGAGGCTTCCATTCTTTATCCAATGACCATGTTGTTCAGAACAAAGAAATTTCTGGAAAAGTATCGTAAAAATGTCTCATGATCTTTGTTAATCATGTGTACCACTCTTGGTCTAAAAAGAAGAAAAAAAGCTTTTTTTTTGATTATACAGTGAGAGTGGCTAACCATTGGCTTGTCCAAAAACTCCTTTATAGTAATAATAGCTGGTGTAGGGCCAGACAACATCAACATCATCAACAACAACAACAACAAAAACAGCCGAGCGACAACAACAACAACAACAACAACAACAACAACAACAACAACAACAACAACAGATTGTTGGCGTCTGGTTTTTGACGTTGCGGAGGCATTTGACACCATCTGGCATCGCGGGCTCTTGGTCAAGCTACAACATTCGTTTGGGGTAGACAGCTCGCTATCTCTTAAACTGTCAAATCCTATATATAGGATTTTTTGAAAGTTTTCAAATAGTCATGACCGTGCTTGCACCCGGGATAAGTTGTGTGCCTAAATTGTATCGTAACGTGTTAGGGCGGTATCAGTAGTTTTTCTTCAGAAGTTTTCAAGAGTGACAGTATTACCACTTGACTTATCGGGCCGTTTTGGTGAGGACAAGTCAGTTTTTTGTGGGATCCTATAATTATTACCACTTGACTTGTCGCGCCGTTTTGGTGAGGACAAGTCAGTTTTGTGTCGGATCCTATATATAGGATTTGAGTGTTCTGCATCATCCAGAGTGTTGTAATGGATGCAGATGATTATTGATAGGGTGCTTAGAATGCTGAATAAGTACATAGATACCATGCATAGATGTTTGTGATTGATTGGGGAGCACTGCCACAGGTTGGCATATCTAGTGCTTTTAACTGTACTACAGCAGTAGCTTCACCCCGAAAATTGGCCGATCGGCTTGAAATTTGGAGTATTCCTATGGAAGTACAGGGCGCGAAATAACGGTCGGACATCGGACAATTTCCGACCGTTTACGGTCAGTTTCCGGATGTTTTGTACATATCCGGACAAAGTGTCCGCGCACCTTTTTGCAAAGTACAAAAAAGAAAAGGCACTTCAATCCTTTGTCTCATAGTCATTAGTGATGTCGTCTGGCAAGAGAAAGCCAAGCACCGCTGATGTGGGTGCTCCTCTTGGAAAGAAGCCCAGAGGAGTCAAGACGAACACTTGTGACAAGTGGGTCGCCGAGTATGATAGGGAGCTTTCAACTTCTGTTTGGCTGAGCTATGAGCGCAGTCCCTCAGATCGTAGCGTTGTCGAAATTTTGAAGTGTAAGATGTGTTCCCGTTTTGTTGATAAAATTCGCAGCAGCAAGAATTTTTCTGACTCCTTCGTCGTTGGCTCAAGGAACCTGAAAACGTCAGCCTTCAAAGATCATGCTGCTTCTGAAATGCATCGTCGTGATAACATTTCGATGGTATTAATTCTACACTGAACATTGTGTGATTTGATGTGAAAGTTGCATGTCCGGACATGTCCGGCCATTTTTGCAACTGGCAGGACATTGTGTCAGAGCATATTTTAATCCTTAGCGCATGCCCTGGAAGTATATGGAAAACAGTTCCAAACACCTCATGAAACCCATTTCATCAATATGCATAAGTTTTTTAGCGAAATCCTTTAGCCAAAAACCAAATCCTATGTACATATATATTATATAGGATTTGCTGGTGACAGTTTAAGAGATTGTCATGGTTGAAATCTTACCTGAGTGACAGATATCGAAGCCCAAGAGATGAAGGGCAAGAGCACCAGAGCCAGAGCGCCAGAGCCAGAGCGCCAGAGCCAGAGCACAAGCGCCAGAGCCAGAGTGCCAGATAGGGCAGAGCAAAGCGCAAAGCGCCAGAGCCATAGCCAGAGCCCAAGTGCCCCAGTGCAAGTGCCCCAGTGCAAGTGCCCCAGTGCAAGTGCCCCAGTGCAAGTGCCCCAGTGCAAGTGCCCCAGTGCAAGTGCCCCAGTGCAAGTGCCCCAGTGCAAGTGCCCCAGTGCAAGTGCCCCAGTGCAAGAGCCAGAGCGCCAGAGCCAGAGCGCCAGAGCCAGAGCACCAGAGCCAGAGCACCAGAGCCAGAGCCAGATCCAGAGCGCCAGAGCCAGAGCCATAGTGCCAGAGCACTGGAGCCAGAGCCCTGGAGACAGAGTGCCAGAGCCTTAGGGCAAACACAGCCAGAGCCATAGTGCCAGAGCCAGAGCAGGGGCAGAGCCAGAGCAGCAGAGCCAGAGCAGCAGAGCCAGAGCTGCAGAGCCAGAGTGGCAGAGCCAGAGCAGCACAGCCAGAGTGCCAGAGCCAGACCAGGGGCAGAGCTGCAGAGCTGCAGAGCTGCAGAGCTGCAGAGCTGCAGAGCTGCAGAGCTGCAGAGCTGCAGAGCTGCAGAGCCAGAGCAGAGGAGCCAGAGCGGCAGAGCCAGAGCGGCAGAGCCAGAGCGGCAGAGCCAGAGCGGCAGAGCCAGAGCGGCAGAGCCAGAGCGGCAGAGCAGCCAGAGCGGCAGAGCAGCCAGAGCAGCAGAGCAGCCAGAGCGGCAGAGCAGCCAGAGCGGCAGAGCAGCCAGAGGGGCAGAGCAGCCAGAGCGGCAGACCAGCCAGAGCGGCAGAGCAGCCAGAGCGGCAGAGCAGCCAGAGCGGCAGAGCAGCCAGAGCGGCAGAGCAGCCAGAGCGGCAGAGCAGCCAGAGCGGCAGAGCAGCCAGAGCGGCAGAGCAGCCAGAGCGGCAGAGCAGCCAGAGCGGCAGAGCAGCCAGAGCGGCAGAGCAGCCAGAGCGGCAGAGCAGCCAGAGCGGCAGAGCAGCCAGAGCGGCAGAGCAGCCAGAGCGGCAGAGCAGCCAGAGCGGCAGAGCAGCCAGAGCGGCAGAGCAGCCAGAGCGGCAGAGCAGCCAGAGCGGCAGAGCAGCCAGAGCGGCAGAGCAGCCAGAGCGGCAGAGCAGCCAGAGCGGCAGAGCAGCCAGAGCGGCAGAGCAGCCAGAGCGGCAGAGCAGCCAGAGCGGCAGAGCAGCCAGAGCGGCAGAGCAGCCAGAGCGGCAGAGCAGCCAGAGCGGCAGAGCAGCCAGAGCGGCAGAGCAGCCAGAGCGGCAGAGCAGCCAGAGCGGCAGAGCAGCCAGAGCGGCAGAGCAGCCAGAGCGGCAGAGCAGCCAGAGCGGCAGAGCAGCCAGAGCGGCAGAGCAGCCAGAGCGGCAGAGCAGCCAGAGCGGCAGAGCAGCCAGAGCGGCAGAGCAGCCAGAGCGGCAGAGCAGCCAGAGCGGCAGAGCAGCCAGAGCGGCAGAGCAGCCAGAGCGGCAGAGCAGCCAGAGCGGCAGAGCAGCCAGAGCGGCAGAGCAGCCAGAGCGGCAGAGCAGCCAGAGCGGCAGAGCAGCCAGAGCGGCAGAGCAGCCAGAGCGGCAGAGCAGCCAGAGCGGCAGAGCAGCCAGAGCGGCAGAGCAGCCAGAGCGGCAGAGCAGCCAGAGCGGCAGAGCAGCCAGAGCGGCAGAGCAGCCAGAGCGGCAGAGCAGCCAGAGCGGCAGAGCAGCCAGAGCGGCAGAGCAGCCAGAGCGGCAGAGCAGCCAGAGCGGCAGAGCAGCCAGAGCGGCAGAGCAGCCAGAGCGGCAGAGCAGCCAGAGCGGCAGAGCAGCCAGAGCGGCAGAGCAGCCAGAGCGGCAGAGCAGCCAGAGCGGCAGAGCAGCCAGAGCGGCAGAGCAGCCAGAGCGGCAGAGCAGCCAGAGCGGCAGAGCAGCCAGAGCGGCAGAGCAGCCAGAGCGGCAGAGCAGCCAGAGCGGCAGAGCAGCCAGAGCGGCAGAGCAGCCAGAGCGGCAGAGCAGCCAGAGCGGCAGAGCAGCCAGAGCGGCAGAGCAGCCAGAGCGGCAGAGCAGCCAGAGCGGCAGAGCAGCCAGAGCGGCAGAGCAGCCAGAGCGGCAGAGCAGCCAGAGCGGCAGAGCAGCCAGAGCGGCAGAGCAGCCAGAGCGGCAGAGCAGCCAGAGCGGCAGTGCAGCCAGAGCGGCAGAGCAGCCAGAGCGGCAGAGCAGCCAGAGCGGCAGAGCAGCCAGAGCGGCAGAGCAGCCAGAGCGGCAGAGCAGCCAGAGCGGCAGAGCAGCCAGAGCGGCAGAGCAGCCAGAGCGGCAGAGCAGCCAGAGCGGCAGAGCAGCCAGAGCGGCAGAGCAGCCAGAGCGGCAGAGCAGCCAGAGCGGCAGAGCAGCCAGAGCGGCAGAGCAGCCAGAGCGGCAGAGCAGCCAGAGCGGCAGAGCAGCCAGAGCGGCAGAGCAGCCAGAGCGGCAGAGCAGCCAGAGCGGCAGAGCAGCCAGAGCCGCAGAGCAGCCAGAGCCGCAGAGCAGCCAGAGCCGCAGAGCAGCCAGAGCCGCACAGCAGCCAGAGCCGCACAGCAGCCAGAGCCGCACAGCAGCCAGAGCCGCACAGCAGCCAGAGCCGCACAGCAGCCAGAGCCGCACAGCAGCCAGAGCCGCACAGCAGCCAGAGCCGCACAGCAGCCAGAGCCGCACAGCAGCCAGAGCCGCACAGCAGCCAGAGCCGCACAGCAGCCAGAGCCGCACAGCAGCCAGAGCCGCACAGCAGCCAGAGCCGCACAGCAGCCAGAGCCGCACAGCAGCCAGAGCCGCACAGCAGCCAGAGCCGCACAGCAGCCAGAGCCGCACAGCAGCCAGAGCCGCACAGCAGCCAGAGCCGCACAGCAGCCAGAGCCGCACAGCAGCCAGAGCCGCACAGCAGCCAGAGCCGCACAGCAGCCAGAGCCGCACAGCAGCCAGAGCCGCACAGCAGCCAGAGCCGCACAGCAGCCAGAGCCGCACAGCAGCCAGAGCCGCACAGCAGCCAGAGCCGCACAGCAGCCAGAGCCGCACAGCAGCCAGAGCCGCACAGCAGCCAGAGCCGCACAGCAGCCAGAGCCGCAGAGCAGCCAGAGCCGCAGAGCAGCCAGAGCCGCAGAGCAGCCAGAGCCGCAGAGCAGCCAGAGCCGCAGAGCAGCCAGAGCCGCAGAGCAGCCAGAGCCGCACAGCAGCCAGAGCCGCACAGCAGCCAGAGCCGCACAGCAGCCAGAGCCGCACAGCAGCCAGAGCCGCACAGCAGCCAGAGCCGCACAGCAGCCAGAGCCGCACAGCAGCCAGAGCCGCACAGCAGCCAGAGCCGCACAGCAGCCAGAGCCGCACAGCAGCCAGAGCCGCACAGCAGCCAGAGCCGCACAGCAGCCAGAGCCGCACAGCAGCCAGAGCCGCACAGCAGCCAGAGCCGCAGAGCAGCCAGAGCCGCAGAGCAGCCAGAGCCGCACAGCAGCCAGAGCCGCACAGCAGCCAGAGCCGCACAGCAGCCAGAGCCGCACAGCAGCCAGAGCCGCAGAGCACTGCAGAGCCGCAGAGCACTGCAGAGCCGCACAGCAGCCAGAGCCGCACAGCAGCCAGAGCCGCACAGCAGCCAGAGCCGCACAGCAGCCAGAGCCGCACAGCAGCCAGAGCCGCACAGCAGCCAGAGCCGCACAGCAGCCAGAGCCGCACAGCAGCCAGAGCCGCACAGCAGCCAGAGCCGCACAGCAGCCAGAGCCGCACAGCAGCCAGAGCCGCACAGCAGCCAGAGCCGCACAGCAGCCAGAGCCGCACAGCAGCCAGAGCCGCACAGCAGCCAGAGCCGCACAGCAGCCAGAGCCGCACAGCAGCCAGAGCCGCACAGCAGCCAGAGCCGCACAGCAGCCAGAGCCGCACAGCAGCCAGAGCCGCACAGCAGCCAGAGCCGCACAGCAGCCAGAGCCGCACAGCAGCCAGAGCCGCACAGCAGCCAGAGCCGCACAGCAGCCAGAGCCGCACAGCAGCCAGAGCCGCACAGCAGCCAGAGCCGCACAGCAGCCAGAGCCGCACAGCAGCCAGAGCCGCACAGCAGCCAGAGCCGCACAGCAGCCAGAGCCGCACAGCAGCCAGAGCCGCACAGCAGCCAGAGCCGCACAGCAGCCAGAGCCGCACAGCAGCCAGAGCCGCACAGCAGCCAGAGCCGCACAGCAGCCAGAGCCGCACAGCAGCCAGAGCCGCACAGCAGCCAGAGCCGCACAGCAGCCAGAGCCGCAGGCAGCCAGGCCCGCAGAGCACTGCAGAGCGGCAGAGCCGCAGAGCGGCAGAGCCGCAGAGCGGAGCCGCAGAGCCGCAGAGCGGCAGGGCCGCAGAGCGGCAGGGCCGCAGAGCGGCAGGGCCGCAGGGCGGCAGGGCCGCAGGGCGGCAGAGCGGCAGGGCCGCAGAGCGGCAGAGCGGCAGAGCGGCAGAGCGGCAGAGCTGCAGAGCTGCAGAGCTTCAGAGCTGCAGAGCTGCAGAGCGGCAGAGGTGCAGAGCGGCAGAGCTGCAGAGCGGCAGAGCTGCAGAGCGGCAGAGCTGCAGAGCGGCAGAGCTGCAGAGCGGCAGAGCTGCAGAGCAGCAGAGCTGCAGAGCTGCAGAGCGGCAGAGCTGCAGAGCTGCAGAGCGGCAGAGCTGCAGAGCGGCAGAGCGGCAGAGCTGCAGAGCTGCAGAGCTGCAGAGCGGCAGAGCGGCAGAGCTGCAGAGCGGCAGAGCTGCAGAGCTGCAGAGCTGCAGAGCTGCAGAGCTGCAGAGCTGCAGAGCGGCAGAGCCAGAGCGGCAGAGCCAGAGCCGCAGAGCCAGAGCCGCAGAGCCAGAGCCGCAGAGCCAGAGCCGCAGAGCCAGAGCCGCAGAGCCAGAGCCGCAGAGCCAGAGCCGCAGAGCCAGAGCGGCAGAGCCAGAGCCAGATCCAGAGCGCCAGAGCCAGAGCCATATAGCCAGAGCACTGGAGCCAGAGCCCTGGAGACAGAGTGCCAGAGCCTGAGGGCAAACACAGCCAGAGCCATAGTGCCAGAGCCAGAGCAGGGGCAGAGCCAGAGCAGCAGAGCCAGAGCAGTAGAGCCAGAGCTGCAGAGCCAGAGTGGCAGAGCCAGAGCAGCACAGCCAGAGTGCCAGAGCCAGACCAGGGGCAGAGCCAGAGCCAGAGCCGCAGAGCCAGAGCCGCAGAGCCAGAGCCAGAGCCCCAGAGCCAGAGCCAGAGCCAGAGCAGCAGAGACAGAGCAGCAGAGCCAGAGCTGCAGAGCCAGAGGGCAGAGCCTGAGCGGCAGAGCCAGAGCGGCAGAGCCAGAGGGGGGGGGGGGAGCAAGAGCGGCGGAGCCAGAGCGGCGGAGCCAGAGCAGGGGAGCCAGAGCGGCGGAGCCAGAGCGGCGGAGCCAGAGCGGCGGAGCCAGAGCGGCGGAGCCAGAGCGGCAGAGCCAGAGCGGCAGAGCCAGAGCGGCAGAGCCAGAGGGGCAGAGCCAGAGGGGCAGAGCCAGAGGGGCAGAGCCAGAGGGGCAGAGCCAGAGCGGCAGAGCCAGAGGGGCAGAGCCAGAGCGGCAGAGCCAGAGCGGCAGAGCGGCAGAGGCAGAGCGGCAGAGCCAGAGCGGCAGAGCCAGAGCGGCAGAGCCAGAGCGGCAGAGCCAGAGCGGCAGAGCCAGAGCGGCAGAGCCAGAGCGGCAGAGCCAGAGCGGCAGAGCCAGAGCGGCAGAGCCAGAGCGGCAGAGCCAGAGCGGCAGAGCCAGAGCGGCAGAGCCAGAGCGGCAGAGCCAGAGCGGCAGAGCCAGAGCGGCAGAGCCAGAGCGGCAGAGCCAGAGCCGCAGAGGCAGAGCAGCAGAGGCACTCTGGCGCTCTGGCTCTCCCACTCTGGATCTGGAGCTATGGCTCTGGCACTTTAGCTCTGGCACTATGGATCTGGCTCTGTTTGGGCTCAGACTCTGGCTCAGGTGCTCTGGCTCTTGCGCTCTGGCTCTTGCGCTCTGGCTCAGGCGCTCTGGCTCTTGCGCTCTGGCTCTTGCGCTCCAGCTCTTGCACTCTGGCTATGGCTCTGGCGCTTTGCTCTGGCCAATCTGGGGCTCTGGCTCTGGCACTCTGGCTTTGGCGCTCCTGCTCTGGCTCTCCAGCTCTGGCACTCTTGCTCTGGCGCTCTGGCCCTGCTGCTCTGGGCCTGACGCTCTGGCTCTGCCGCTCTGGCTCTGCCGCTCTGGATCTGCCGCTCTGGATATGCCGCTCTGGATCTGCTGCTCTGGATCTGCCGCTCGAGCTCTGCTGCTCTGGCTCTCGTGCTATGGCTTTGCCACTCTAGCTTTGCCACTCTGGATCTGGCTCTGCTGCTCTGGCTCTGGTGCTCTGGCGCTCTGGATCTGGCTCTGGCGCTGGCGCTTTGGCTCTGGCTCTGGCGCTATAGCTCTGGTGCTGGCGCTCTGGGCTCTGGTGCTCTGGCTCTGGAGCTCCAACTTAGGCTCTCTGCTGCTTTGGCTCTGGCGCTATGGCTCCCTGTCTCTGGCTCTGGCGCTCTGGCTCTCTGCCTCCTGGTGCTATGGCTCTGGCACTCTGGCGCTCTGGCTCTGGCTCTGGCGCTCTAGCTCTGGCGCTCTAGCTCTGGGGCTGACTCTTGTGTTCCAAGCCCTGGGTCTGATTCTTGCGCTCTGGCTCTGGTGCTCTGGCTCTGGTGCTCCAGCTCTGGCGCTCTGGCTCCGGCGCTCTGGCTCCAGCGCTCTGGCTCCAGTGCTATGGCTCTGGCGCTCTGGCTCTGTTTGAGCTCTGGCTCTGGCATTCTGGCTCTGGCACTAAGGCTCTGGCACTAAGGCTCTGGCGCTCTGGCGCTCTTCCTCTGGCGCTCGCATCTGGCGCTCTGGCTTAGGCTCTCTGGCTCTGGCTCTGGCTCTTGTGCTACGACTCTGGCGCTCTGGGTCAGGTGCTCTGGCTTTGGCGCTCCGGCTCTTCTGCTCTGGCTCTTCTGCTCTGGCTCTGCTGCTCTGGCTCTGCTGCTCTGGCTCTGCTGCTCTGGCTCTGCTGCTCTGGCTCTGCTGCTCTGGCTCTGCAGCTCTGGCTCTGCGGCTCTGGCTCTGCTGCTCTGGCTCTGCCGCTCTGGCTCCGCTGCTCTGGCACTTTAGGTCTGGCACTATGGCTCTGGCTCTGTTTTCGCTCTGGTGCTCTGGCTCTGGCTCTGGCGCTCTGGCTCTGGCGCTCTGGCTCTGGCGCTCTGGCTCTGGCGCTCTGGCTCTGGAGCTCTGGCTCCAGTGCTCTGGCTCCAGCGCTCTGGCCTCCATGCTCTGGCTCCTGTGCTCTGGCTCTGTTTGCGCTCAGGCTCTCTGGTCTCTGGTCTCTGGTAGGCTTGTACTCTAGCTCTGGCTCTTGATCTGGGGTTCTGGCTCTGGCAATCTGGCTCTAGCACTGGCGCTATGGCTTTGGCGCTCTGGCTCTGTTTGAGCTCTGGCATTCTGGCTCTGGCGCTCTGGCTCTGGCGCTCTTCCTCTGGCGCTCTGCATCTGGCGCTCTGGTTCTGGAGCTCCAGCTTAGGCTCTCTGCTGCCACTCTGGCTCTGCCGCTCTGGCTCTGCCGCTCTGACTCTCCAGCTCTGGCGCTATGGCGCAGGGGCTGTGGATATGAATCTGGCGCTCTGGCTCTGTTTGAGCCCTGGCTCTGGCTCTGGCGCTCTTCCTCTGGCGCTCTGCATCTGGCGCTCTGGTTCAGGAGCTCCAGCTTAGGCTCTCTGGCTCTGGCGCTCTGGCTTTGGTGCTCTGGCTCTGGCACTGGCACTTTGGCAATGGGGCTTTGGCTCTATGCCTCTGCAACTCTGGCTCTGCTGCTCTGGCTCTCCAGCTCTGCTGCTCTGGCTCTGCTGCTCTGGCTCTGCCACTCTGGCTCTGCTGCTCTGGCTCTGCTGCTCTGGCTCTGCTGCTCTGGCTCTGCTGCTCTGGCTCTGGGGCTCTGGCTCTGCTGCTCTGGCTCTGGGGCTCTGGCTCTGGCGCTCTGGCTCTGGCGCTCTGGCTCTGCTGCTCTGGGTCTGCTGCTCTGGGTCTGTGGCTCTGGCTTTGCCCCTCTGGGTCTGCTGCTCTGGCTATGCCCCTCTGGCTCTGCTGCTCTGGCTCTGCGGCTCTGGCTCTGCTGCTCTGGCTCTGCAGCTCTGGCTCTGTGGCTCTGGCTTTGCTGCTCTGGCTCTGCCGCTCTGGCTCTGCTGCTCTGGCACTTTAGCTCTTTGGCTCTGCCGGTCTTGCTATGCTGCTCTGGCTATGCTGCTCTGGCTATGCTGCTCTGGCTCTGCAGCTCTGGCTCTGGGGCTCTGGCTCTGCTGCTCCGGCTCTGCTGCTCTGGCTCTGCCGCTCTGGCACTATGGCTCTGGCGCTCTGGCTCTGGCTCTGTTTTCGCTCTGGCGCTCTGGCTCTGTTTTCGCTCTGGCGCTCTGGCTCTGGCTCTGGCGCTCTGGCTCCAGCAATCTGGCTGCAGGGCTCTGGCTCCCATGCTCTGGCTCTGGCGCTCTGGCTCTGGCGCTCTGGCTCCAGTGCTCTGGCTCTGCTGTTCTGGCTCTGCTGTTCTGGCTCTGCAGCTCTGGCTCTGGCTCTGCTGCTCTGGCTCTGCCGCTCTGGCTCTACTGCTCTGGCACTTTAGCTCTGGCACTATGGCTCTGGCTCTGGCGCTCTGGCTCTGTTTTCGCTCTGGCGCTCTGGCTCTGTTTTCGCTCTGGCTCTGGCTCTGGCGCTCTGGCTCTGGCTCTCTGGCTCTGGCGCTCTGGCTCTGGCGCTCTGGCTCTGGCGCTCTGGCTCTGGTGCTCTGGCTCTGGTGCTCTGGCTGCGGCGCTCTGGCTCCTGGGCTCCGGCTCCTGGGCTCTGGCTCCAGTGCTCTGGCTCTGGCGCTCTGGCTCTGGCGCTCTGGCTCTGGCGCTCTGGCTCCTGGGCTCTGGCTCCAGGGCTCTGGCTCTGGCGCTCTGGCTCCAGCGCTCTGGCCTCCATGCTCTGGCTCCTGTGCTCTGGCTCTGTTTGTGCTCAGGCTCTGGTACTCTAGCTCTGGCTCTGGCGCTCTGGCTCTGGATCTGGGGTTCTGGCTCTGGCAATCTGGCTCTAGCGCTGGCGCTATGGCTCTGGCGCTCTGGCTCTGGCGCTCTGGCTCTGTTTGAGCTCTGGCATTCTGGCTCTGGCGCTAAGGCTCTGGCTCTGGCGCTCTGGCTCTGGCGCTCTTCCTCTGGCGCTCTGCATCTGGCGCTCTGGTTCGGGAGCTCCAGCTTAGGCTCTCTGCTGCCACTCTGGCTCTGCTGGTCTGGCTCTGCCGCTCTGACTCTCCAGCTCTGGCGCTATGGGGGGGGGGGGGGGCTATGAATCTGGCGCTCTGGCTCTGTTTGAGCCCTGGCTCTGGCTCTGGCGCTCTGGCTCTGGCGCTCTTCCTCTGGCGCTCTGCATCTGGCGCTCTGGTTCAGGAGCTCCAGCTTAGGCTCTCTGGCTCTGGCACCCTGGTTCTGTCGCTCTGGCTTTGGTGCTCTGGCTCTGGCACTGGCACTTTGGCAAAGCGGCTTTGGCTCTATGCCTCTGCCACTCTGGCTCTGCTGCTCTGGCTCTCCAGCTCTGCTGCTCTGGCTCTGCTGCTCTGGCTCTGCCACTCTGGCTCTGCTGCTCTGGCTCTGCTGCTCTGGCTCTGCTGCTCTGGCTCTGGCTCTGCCGCTCTGGCTCTGGCTCTGGCTCTGGCTCTGGCTCTGCGGCTCTGGCTCTGGCTCTGCGGCTCTGGCGCTCTGGCTCTGGCGCTCTGGCTCTGGCGCTCTGGCTCTGCTGCTCTGGGTCTGCTGCTCTGGGTCTGTGGCTCTGGCTTTGCCCCTCTGGCTCTGCTGCTCTAGCTCTGCCGCTCTGGCTCTGCTGCTCTGGCTCTGCTGCTCTGGGTCTGTGGCTCTGGCTTTGCCCCTCTGGCTCTGCTGCTCTAGCTCTGCCGCTCTGGCTCTGCTGCTCTGGCTCTGCCGCTCTGGCTCTGCTGCTCTGGCTCTGCCGCTCTGGCTCTGCTGCTCTGGCTCTGCAGCTCTGGCTCTGCGGCTCTGGCTCTGCTGCTCTGGCTCTGCCGCTCTGGCTCTGCTGCTCTGGCACTTTAGCTCTTTGGCTCTGCTGCTCTGGCTATGCTGCTCTGGCTCTGCAGCTCTGGCTCTGCGGCTCTTGCTCTGCTGCTCTGGCTCTGCCGCTCTGGCTCTGCTGCTCTGGCACTATGGCTCTGGCGCTCTGGCTCTGTTTTCGCTCTGGCTCTGGCTCTGGCGCTCTGGCTCTGGCGCTCTGGCGCTCTGGCTTTGGCGCTCTGGCTCCCGCACTATGGCTCTGGCTCTGTTTGCGCTCAGACTCTGGCTCCGGCGCTCTGGCTCTTGCGCTCTGGCTCTTGCGCTTTGGCTCTTGCGCTCTGGCTCTTGCGCTCTGGCTTTGGCTCTGGCTCTTGCGCTCTAGCTATGGCTCTGGCGCTTTGCTCTGGCCGATCTGGCGCAGAGCTGCAGAGCCAGAGCGGCAGAGCCAGAGCGGCAGAGCCAGAGCGGCAGAGCCAGAGCGGCAGAGCCAGAGCGGTAGAGCCAGAGCACCAGAGCCAGATCACCAGAGCCAGAGCCAGAGCCAGAGCCAGAGCCAGATCCAGAACGCCAGAGCCAGAGAGCCAGCGCCAGAGCCAGAGCACCAGAGCCATTGTGCCAGAGCCAGAGTGGCAGAGCCATAGCAGCAGAGCCAGAGCCACAGAGCCAGAGCAGCAGAGCCAGAGCGGCAAGGCCAGAGCGGGAGGGCTAGAGCTGCAGGGCAAGAGCGACAGGGCCAGAGCAGCAGGGCCAGAGGTGCAGAGCCGCAGAGCCCAGGCGGCAGAGCCAGAGCGGCAGAGCCAGAGCGGCAGAGCCAGAGCGGCAGAGCCAGAGAGGCAGAGCCAGAGAGGCAGAGCCAGAGAGGCAGAGCCAGAGCGGCAGAGCCAGAGCGGCAGAGCCAGAGCGGCAGAGCCAGAGCGGCAGAGCCAGAGCGGCAGAGCCAGAGCGGCAGAGCCAGAGCGGCAGAGCCAGAGCGGCAGAGCCAGAGCGGCAGAGCCAGAGCAGAGCTGCAGAGCCAGAGCGGCAGAGCCAGAGCGGCAGAGCCAGAGCGGCAGAGCCAGAGCGGCAGAGCCAGAGCGGCAGAGCCAGAGCGGCAGAGACAGAGCGGCAGAGACAGAGCGGCAGAGCCAGAGCGGCAGAGCCAGAGCGGCAGAGCCAGAGCGGCAGAGCCAGAGCCGCAGAGCCAGAGCCGCAGAGCCAGAGCGGCAGAGGCAGAGTGGCAGAGGCACTCTGGCGCTCTGGCTCTCCCACTCTGGATCTGGAGCTATGGCTCTGGCACTTAAGCTCTGGCACTATGGATCTGGCTCTGTTTGGGCTCAGACTCTGGCTCAGGCGCTCTGGCTCTTGCGCTCTGGCTCTTGCGCTCTGGCTCTTGCGCTCTGGCTCTTGCGCTCCAGCTCTTGCACTCCAGCTCCTGCGCTCTGACTCTTGCACTCTGGCTATGGCTCTGGCGCTTTGCTCTGGCCAATCTGGCGCTCTGGCTCTGGCACTATGGCTTTGGCGCTCCTGCTCTGGCGCTCCAGCTCTGGCACTCTTGCTCTGGCGCTCTGGCCCTGCCGCTCTGGATATGCCGCTCTGGATCTGCCGCTCTGGATCTGCCGCTCGAGCTCTGCTGCTCTGGCTCTCGTGCTATGGCTTTGCCACTCTAGCTTTGCCACTCTAGCTCTGGATCTGGCTCTGCTGCTCTGGCTCTGGTGCTCTGGCGCTCTGGATCTGGCTCTGGCGCTGGCGCTTTGGCTCTGGGTCTGGCGCTATAGCTCAGGTGCTGGCGCTCTGGGCTCTGGTGCTCTGGCTCTGGAGCTCCAACTTAGGCTCTCTGCTGCTTTGGCTCTGGCGCTATGGCTCTCTGTCTCTGGCTCTGGCGCTCTGGCTCGCTGCCTCTGGTGCTATGGCTCTGGCACTCTGGCGCTCTGGCTCTGGCTCTGGCGCTCTGGCGCTCTAGCTCTGGCGCTCTAGCTCTGGGGCTGACTCTTGCGTTCCAAGCTCTGGGGCTGACTCTTGCGCTCTGGCTCTGGTGCTCTGGCTCTGGTGCTCCAGCTCTGGCGCTCTGGCTCCGGCGCTCTGGCTCCAGCGCTCTGGCTCCAGTGCTATGGCTCTGTGTTTGAGCTCTGGCTCTGGCATTCTGGCTCTGGCACTAAGGCTCTGGCGCTCTGGCGCTCGCATCTGGCGCTCTGGCTTAGGCTCTCTGGCTCTGGCTCTTGTGCTACGACTCTGGCGCTCTGGGTCAGGTGCTCTGGCTTTGGCGCTCTGGCTCTTCTGCTCTGGCTCTTCTGCTCTGGCTCTGCTGCTCTGGCTCTGCTGCTCTGGCTCTGCTGCTCTGGCTCTGCTGCTCTGGCTCTGCTGCTCTGGCTCTGCAGCTCTGGCTCTGGGGCTCTGGCTCTGCTGCTCTGGCTCTGCCGCTCTGGCTCCGCTGCTCTGGCACTTTAGGTCTGGCACTATGGCTCTGGCTCTGTTTTGGCTCTGGCTCTGTTTTCGCTCTGGTGCTCTGGCTCTGGCTCTGGCTCTCTGGCTCTGGTGCTCTGGCTCTGGCGCCCTGGCTCTGGCGCTCTGGCTCCAGTGCTCTGGCTCCAGCGCTCTGCCCTCCATGCTCTGGCTCCTGTGCTCTGGCTCCAGCGCTCTGGCTCTGTTTGCGCTCAGGCTCTGGTACTCTAGCTCTGGCTCTGGATCTGGGGTTCTGGCTCTGGCAATCTGGCTCTAGCGCTGGCGCTATGGCTCTGGCGCTCTGGCTCTGTTTGAGCTCTGGCATTCTGGCTCTGGCGCTCTGGCTCTGGCGCTCTTCCTCTGGCGCTTTGCATCTGGCGCTCTGGTTCGGGAGCTCCAGCTTAGGCTCTCTGCTGCCACTCTGGCTCTGCCGCTCTGGCTCTGCCGCTCTGACTCTCCAGCTCTGGCGCTATGGCGCAGGGGCTGGCGGGGCTGGCGTTATGAATCTGGCGCTCTGGCTCTGTTTGAGCCCTGGCTCTGCTCTGGCTCCAGTGCTCTGGCTCTGCTGTTCTGACTCAGCAGCTCTGGCTCTGGCTCTGCTGCTCTGGCTCTGCCGCTCTGGCACTTTAGCTCTGGCACTATGGCTCTGGCTCTGGCGCTCTGGCTCTGTTTTGGCTCTGGCGCTCTGGCTCTGGCGCTCTGGCTCTGGCTCTGGCGCTCTGGCTAGGGCGCTCTGGCTAGGGCGCTCTGGCTGCGGCTGGCTCCTGGGCTCTGGCTCCTGCGCTCTGGCTCTGGCGCTCTGGCTCCAGGGCTCTGCTTCTGTGCTCTGGCTCTGGCGCTCTGGCTCTGTCTGCGCTCAGGCTCTGGTACTCTAGCTCTGGCTCTGGCGCTCTGGCTCTGGATCTGGGGTTCTGGCTCTGGCAATCTGGCTCTAGCCCTGGCGCTATGGCTCTGGCGCTCTGGCTCTGTTTGAGCTCTGGCATTCTGCCTCTGGCGCTAAGGCTCTGGCGCTCTGGCTCTGGCGCTCTGGCTCTGGCGCTCTTCCTCTGGCGCTCTGCATCTGGCGCTCTGGTTCGGGAGCTCCACCTTAGGCTTTTGCTGCCACTCTGGCTCTGCCGCTCTGGCTCTGCCGCTCTGACTCTCCAGCTCTGGCGCTATTGCGCAGGGGCTGTCGCTATGAATCTGGCTCTGTTTGAGCCCTGGCTCTGGCGCTCTGGCTCTGGCGCTCTTCCTCTGGCGCTCTGCATCTGGCGCTCTGGTTCAGGAGCTCCAGCTTAGGCTCTCTGCCTCTGGCACCCTGGTTCTGTCGCTCTGGCTTTGGTGCTCTGGCTTTGATGCTCTGGTTCTGGCACTGGCACTTTGGCAATGCGGCCTTGGCTCTATGCCTCTGCCACTCTGGCTCTGCTGCTCTGGCTCTCCAGCTCTGCTGCTCTGGCTCTGCTGCTCTGGCTCTGCCACTCTGGCTCTGCTGCTCTGGCTCTGCTGCTCTGGCTCTGGCTCTGCTGCTCTGGCTCTGGCGCTCTGGCTCTGGCGCTCTGGCTCTGGCGCTCAGCTCTGCTGCTCTGGGTCTGCTGCTCTGGGTCTGCTGCTCTGGGTCTGTGGCTCTGGCTTTGCCCCTCTGGCTCTGCTGCTCTAGCTCTGCCGCTCTGGCTCTGCTGCTCTGGCTCTGCTGCTCTGGGTCTGTGGCTCTGGCTTTGCCCCTCTGGCTCTGCTGCTCTAGCTCTGCCGCTCTGGCTCTGCTGCTCTGGCTCTGCCGCTCTGGCTCTGCTGCTCTGGCTCTGCCGCTCTGGCTCTGCTGCTCTGGCTCTGCAGCTCTGGCTCTGCGGCTCTGGCTCTGCTGCTCTGGCTCTGCCGCTCTGGCTCTGCTGCTCTGGCACTTTAGCTCTTTGGCTCTGCTGCTCTGGCTATGCTGCTCTGGCTCTGCAGCTCTGGCTCTGCGGCTCTTGCTCTGCTGCTCTGGCTCTGCCGCTCTGGCTCTGCTGCTCTGGCACTATGGCTCTGGCGCTCTGGCTCTGTTTTCGCTCTGGCTCTGGCTCTGGCGCTCTGGCTCTGGCGCTCTGGCGCTCTGGCTTTGGCGCTCTGGCTCCCGCACTATGGCTCTGGCTCTGTTTGCGCTCAGACTCTGGCTCCGGCGCTCTGGCTCTTGCGCTCTGGCTCTTGCGCTTTGGCTCTTGCGCTCTGGCTCTTGCGCTCTGGCTTTGGCTCTGGCTCTTGCGCTCTAGCTATGGCTCTGGCGCTTTGCTCTGGCCGATCTGGCGCAGAGCTGCAGAGCCAGAGCGGCAGAGCCAGAGCGGCAGAGCCAGAGCGGCAGAGCCAGAGCGGCAGAGCCAGAGCGGCAGAGCCAGAGCACCAGAGCCAGATCACCAGAGCCAGAGCCAGAGCCAGAGCCAGAGCCAGATCCAGAACGCCAGAGCCAGAGAGCCAGCGCCAGAGCCAGAGCACCAGAGCCATTGTGCCAGAGCCAGAGTGGCAGAGCCATAGCAGCAGAGCCAGAGCCACAGAGCCAGAGCAGCAGAGCCAGAGCGGCAAGGCCAGAGCGGGAGGGCTAGAGCTGCAGGGCAAGAGCGACAGGGCCAGAGCAGCAGGGCCAGAGGTGCAGAGCCGCAGAGCCCAGGCGGCAGAGCCAGAGCGGCAGAGCCAGAGCGGCAGAGCCAGAGCGGCAGAGCCAGAGAGGCAGAGCCAGAGAGGCAGAGCCAGAGAGGCAGAGCCAGAGCGGCAGAGCCAGAGCGGCAGAGCCAGAGCGGCAGAGCCAGAGCGGCAGAGCCAGAGCGGCAGAGCCAGAGCGGCAGAGCCAGAGCGGCAGAGCCAGAGCAGAGCTGCAGAGCCAGAGCGGCAGAGCCAGAGCGGCAGAGCCAGAGCGGCAGAGCCAGAGCGGCAGAGACAGAGCGGCAGAGACAGAGCGGCAGAGCCAGAGCGGCAGAGCCAGAGCGGCAGAGCCAGAGCCGCAGAGCCAGAGCCGCAGAGCCAGAGCGGCAGAGGCAGAGTGGCAGAGGCACTCTGGCGCTCTGGCTCTCCCACTCTGGATCTGGAGCTATGGCTCTGGCACTTAAGCTCTGGCACTATGGATCTGGCTCTGTTTGGGCTCAGACTCTGGCTCAGGCGCTCTGGCTCTTGCGCTCTGGCTCTTGCGCTCTGGCTCTTGCGCTCTGGCTCTTGCGCTCCAGCTCTTGCACTCCAGCTCCTGCGCTCTGACTCTTGCACTCTGGCTATGGCTCTGGCGCTTTGCTCTGGCCAATCTGGCGCTCTGGCTCTGGCACTATGGCTTTGGCGCTCCTGCTCTGGCGCTCCAGCTCTGGCACTCTTGCTCTGGCGCTCTGGCCCTGCCGCTCTGGATATGCCGCTCTGGATCTGCCGCTCTGGATCTGCCGCTCGAGCTCTGCTGCTCTGGCTCTCGTGCTATGGCTTTGCCACTCTAGCTTTGCCACTCTAGCTCTGGATCTGGCTCTGCTGCTCTGGCTCTGGTGCTCTGGCGCTCTGGATCTGGCTCTGGCGCTGGCGCTTTGGCTCTGGGTCTGGCGCTATAGCTCAGGTGCTGGCGCTCTGGGCTCTGGTGCTCTGGCTCTGGAGCTCCAACTTAGGCTCTCTGCTGCTTTGGCTCTGGCGCTATGGCTCTCTGTCTCTGGCTCTGGCGCTCTGGCTCGCTGCCTCTGGTGCTATGGCTCTGGCACTCTGGCGCTCTGGCTCTGGCTCTGGCGCTCTGGCGCTCTAGCTCTGGCGCTCTAGCTCTGGGGCTGACTCTTGCGTTCCAAGCTCTGGGGCTGACTCTTGCGCTCTGGCTCTGGTGCTCTGGCTCTGGTGCTCCAGCTCTGGCGCTCTGGCTCCGGCGCTCTGGCTCCAGCGCTCTGGCTCCAGTGCTATGGCTCTGTGTTTGAGCTCTGGCTCTGGCATTCTGGCTCTGGCACTAAGGCTCTGGCGCTCTGGCGCTCGCATCTGGCGCTCTGGCTTAGGCTCTCTGGCTCTGGCTCTTGTGCTACGACTCTGGCGCTCTGGGTCAGGTGCTCTGGCTTTGGCGCTCTGGCTCTTCTGCTCTGGCTCTTCTGCTCTGGCTCTGCTGCTCTGGCTCTGCTGCTCTGGCTCTGCTGCTCTGGCTCTGCTGCTCTGGCTCTGCTGCTCTGGCTCTGCAGCTCTGGCTCTGCAGCTCTGGCTCTGGGGCTCTGGCTCTGCTGCTCTGGCTCTGCCGCTCTGGCTCCGCTGCTCTGGCACTTTAGGTCTGGCACTATGGCTCTGGCTCTGTTTTGGCTCTGGCTCTGTTTTCGCTCTGGTGCTCTGGCTCTGGCTCTGGCTCTCTGGCTCTGGTGCTCTGGCTCTGGCGCCCTGGCTCTGGCGCTCTGGCTCCAGTGCTCTGGCTCCAGCGCTCTGCCCTCCATGCTCTGGCTCCTGTGCTCTGGCTCCAGCGCTCTGGCTCTGTTTGCGCTCAGGCTCTGGTACTCTAGCTCTGGCTCTGGATCTGGGGTTCTGGCTCTGGCAATCTGGCTCTAGCGCTGGCGCTATGGCTCTGGCGCTCTGGCTCTGTTTGAGCTCTGGCATTCTGGCTCTGGCGCTCTGGCTCTGGCGCTCTTCCTCTGGCGCTTTGCATCTGGCGCTCTGGTTCGGGAGCTCCAGCTTAGGCTCTCTGCTGCCACTCTGGCTCTGCCGCTCTGGCTCTGCCGCTCTGACTCTCCAGCTCTGGCGCTATGGCGCAGGGGCTGGCGGGGCTGGCGTTATGAATCTGGCGCTCTGGCTCTGTTTGAGCCCTGGCTCTGCTCTGGCTCCAGTGCTCTGGCTCTGCTGTTCTGACTCAGCAGCTCTGGCTCTGGCTCTGCTGCTCTGGCTCTGCCGCTCTGGCACTTTAGCTCTGGCACTATGGCTCTGGCTCTGGCGCTCTGGCTCTGTTTTGGCTCTGGCGCTCTGGCTCTGGCGCTCTGGCTCTGGCTCTGGCGCTCTGGCTAGGGCGCTCTGGCTAGGGCGCTCTGGCTGCGGCTGGCTCCTGGGCTCTGGCTCCTGCGCTCTGGCTCTGGCGCTCTGGCTCCAGGGCTCTGCTTCTGTGCTCTGGCTCTGGCGCTCTGGCTCTGTTTGCGCTCAGGCTCTGGTACTCTAGCTCTGGCTCTGGCGCTCTGGCTCTGGATCTGGGGTTCTGGCTCTGGCAATCTGGCTCTAGCCCTGGCGCTATGGCTCTGGCGCTCTGGCTCTGTTTGAGCTCTGGCATTCTGCCTCTGGCGCTAAGGCTCTGGCGCTCTGGCTCTGGCGCTCTGGCTCTGGCGCTCTTCCTCTGGCGCTCTGCATCTGGCGCTCTGGTTCGGGAGCTCCACCTTAGGCTTTTGCTGCCACTCTGGCTCTGCCGCTCTGGCTCTGCCGCTCTGACTCTCCAGCTCTGGCGCTATTGCGCAGGGGCTGTCGCTATGAATCTGGCTCTGTTTGAGCCCTGGCTCTGGCGCTCTGGCTCTGGCGCTCTTCCTCTGGCGCTCTGCATCTGGCGCTCTGGTTCAGGAGCTCCAGCTTAGGCTCTCTGCCTCTGGCACCCTGGTTCTGTCGCTCTGGCTTTGGTGCTCTGGCTTTGATGCTCTGGTTCTGGCACTGGCACTTTGGCAATGCGGCCTTGGCTCTATGCCTCTGCCACTCTGGCTCTGCTGCTCTGGCTCTCCAGCTCTGCTGCTCTGGCTCTGCTGCTCTGGCTCTGCCACTCTGGCTCTGCTGCTCTGGCTCTGCTGCTCTGGCTCTGGCTCTGCTGCTCTGGCTCTGGCGCTCTGGCTCTGGCGCTCTGGCTCTGGCGCTCAGCTCTGCTGCTCTGGGTCTGCTGCTCTGGGTCTGCTGCTCTGGGTCTGTGGCTCTGGCTTTGCCCCTCTGGCTCTGCTGCTCTAGCTCTGCTGCTCTGGCTCTGCTGCTCTGGCTCTGCAGCTCTGGCCCTGCTGCTCTGGCCCTGCTGCTCTGGCTCTGCCGCTCTGGCTCTGCTGCTCTGGCACTTTAGCTCTTTGGCTCTGCCGCTCTGGCTATGCTGCTCTGGCTCTGCAGCTCTGGCTCTGCAGCTCTGGCTCTGCTGCTCTGGCTCTGCCGCTCTGGCTCTGCTGCTCTGGCACTATGGCTCTGGCGCTCTGGCTCTGTTTTTGCTCTGGCTCTGGCGCTCTGGCTCTGGCGCTCTGGCTCTGGCGCTCTGGCTCTGTCGCTCTGGCTCTGGTGCTCTGGCTTTGGCGCTCTGGCTCCCGCAATCTGGCTCCAGCAATCTGGCTCTGGCGCTCTGGCTCTGGCGCTCTGGCCCTGGTGCTCTGGCTCCAGGGCTCTGGCTCTGCTGTTCTGGCTCTGCAGCTCTGGCTCTGGCTCTGCTGCTCTGGCTCTGCGGCTCTGGCACTTTAGCTCTGGCACTATGGCTCTGGCTCTGGCGCTCTGGCTCTGTTTTCGCTCTGGCGCTCTGGCACTGGCGCTCTGGCTCTCGCGCTCTGGCTCTGGCGCTCTGGCTCTGGCGCTCTGGCTCTGGCGCTCTGGCTCTGGCGCTCTGGCTCTGGCTCTGCTGCTCTGACTCTCCAGCTCTGGCGCTATGGCTCTGGCTCTGCCGCTCTGACTCTCCAGCTCTGGCGCTATGGCGCAGGGGCTGGCGCTATGAATCTGGCGCTCTGGCTCTGTTTGAGCCAGAGCCAGAGCGGCAGAGCCAGAGCAGCAGAGCCAGAGCAGCAGAGCCAGAGCCGCAGAGCCAGAGCTGCAGAGCCAGAGCTGCAGAGCCAGAGCAGCATAGCCAGAGCAGCATAGCCAGAGCAGCATAGCAAGATGGGCAGAGCCAAAGAGCTTAAGTGCCAGAGCAGCAGAGCCAGAGCGGCAGAGCCAGAGCAGCAGAGCCAGAGCATCAGAGCCAGAGCCACAGAGCCAGAGCTGCAGAGCCAGAGCAGCAGAGCCAGAGCCACAGAGCCAGAGCAGCAGAGCCAGAGGGGCAGAGCCAGAGCCGCAGACCCAGAGGGGCAAAGCCAGAGCCACAGACCCAGAGCAGCAGACCCAGAGCAGCAGAGCCAGAGCGCCAGAGCCAGAGCGCCAGAGCCAGAGGCCCAGAGCCAGAGCGGCAGAGCCAGAGCCCCAGAGCCAGAGCAGCAGAGCCAGAGCAGCAGAGCTAGAGCAGCAGAGCCAGAGCGGCAGAGCCAGAGTGGCAGAGCCAGAGCAGCAGAGCCAGAGCAGCAGAGCTGGAGAGCCAGAGCAGCAGAGCCAGAGTTGCAGAGGCATAGAGCCAAACCCCATTGCCAAAGTGCCAGTGCCAGAGCCAGAGCACCAAAGCCAGAGCGCCAGATACAGAGAGCCTAAGCTGGAGCTCCTGAACCAGAGCGCCAGATGCAGAGCGCCAGAGGAAGAGCGCCAGAGCCAGGGCTCTGTTTTCGCTCTGGCGCTCTGGCTCTGTTTTTGCTCTGGCTCTGGCGCTCTGGCTCTGGCGCTCTGGCTCTGTTGCTCTGGCTCTGGTGCTCTGGCTCTGGCGCTCTGGCTCTGGCGCTCTGGCTCCAGTGCTCTGGCTGTGGCGCTCTGGCTCCTGGGCTCTGGCTCCGGCGCTCTGGCTCTGGCTCCAGCGCTCTGGCTCTGGCCTCCATGCTCTGGCTTTGCGGCTCTGGCTCTGCTGCTCTGGCTCTGCTGCTCTGGCTCTGCTGCTCTGGCACTATGGCTCTGGCGCTCGTGCTCTGGTTCTGGCGCTATAGCTCTGGTGCTGGCACTCTGGGCTTTGGTGCTCTGGCCCGTGAGCTCCAACTTTTGTCTAGCTCTGGCTCTGGCGCTCTGGCTCTGGCTTTGGCGCTCTGGCTCTACTGCTTTGGCTCTGGCGCTATGGCTCTCTGGCTCTGGCTCTGGCGCTCTGGCTCTTGTGGGCTGGCTCTGGCTCTGGCGCTCTGGCTCTGGTGCTATGGCTCTGGCGCTTTGCTCTGGCCAATCTGGCGCTCTGGCTCTGTGGCTCTGGCTCTGACGCTCTGGCTCTGATGCTCTGGCTCTGGCGCTCTGGCTGGCAGCTCTTGCGCTCCAGCTCTGGCGCTCTGGCTCTGGCCCTGCTGCTCTGGCACTGCTGCTCTGGCACTGCTGCTCTGGCACTGCCGCTCTGGCTCTGCCGCTCTGGCTCTGGCGGCTCTGGCTCAGGTTCTGCTGCACTGGCTCTCGTGCTATGGCTCTGTATCTGGCTCTGGCTCTGGCACTCTGGATCTGGCGCTGGCTCTCTGGCCCTGGTGCTCTGGATGGGGCTCCGGCTCTGGCTCTGGCTCTGACGCTCTCCTGCTCTGCTGCTCTGGCTCTGCTGCTCTGGCTCTGCTGCTCTGGCTCTGCTGCTCTGGGTCTGCTGCTGCTCTGGCTCTGGGGCTCTACGGCTCTGGCTCTGCTGCTCTGGCTGTGGTGCTATGGCAGTGGTACTATGGTTCTGGGGCTCTGGCGCTCTGGCTCTGGCACTTTAGCTCTGGCACTATGGCTCTGGCTCTGGGGCTCTGGCTCTGTTTGCACTCAGGCTCTGGCACTCTGGCTCTGGCTTCAGTGCTCTGGCTCCATGCTCCTTTGCTCTGGCTCCTTCGCTCTGGCTCCTTCGCTCTGGCTCCTGTGCTCTGGCTCCTGTGCTCTGGCCCTGGCGCTCTGGCACTGGCGCTCTGGCACTGGCGCTCTGCTGGCACTCTGGGCTTTGGTGCTCTGGCCCTGGAGCTCCAACTTAGGCTCTCTGGCTCTGGCGCTCTGGCTCTGGCTTTGGCTCTGGCTTTGGCGCTCTGGCTCTGGCTTTGGCGCTCTGGCTCTGGCTTTGGCGCTCTGGCTCTACTGCTTTGGCTTTGGCACTATGGCTCTCTGGCTCTGGTGCTCTGGCTCTTGTGGGCTGGCTCTGGCGCTCTGGCTCTGGTGCTATGGCTCTGGCGCTCTGGCTCTGTCGCTCTGGCTCTGTTGCTCTGGCTCTGTTGCTCTAGCTCTGTCGCTCTGGCTCTGACGCTCTGGCTCTGACGCTCTGGCTCTGATGCTCTGGCTCTGGCGCTCTGGCTCTGGCCCTGCTGCTCTGGCCATGCTGCTCTGGCACTGCTGCTCTGGCACTGCCGCTCTGGCTCTGCTGCTCTAGCTCTGGGCTCTAGCTCTGCGCTCTAGCTCTGCGCTCTGCGTGCGCTCTAGCTCTGCGCTCTAGCTCTGCGCTCTAGCTCTGCGCTCTAGCTCTGCGCTCTAGCTCTGCGCTCTAGCTCTGCGCTCTAGCTCTGCGCTCTAGCTCTGCTGCTCAGGTTTTGCTGCTCTGGCTCTCGTGCTATGGCTCTGCCACTCTGGCTCTGGATCTGGCTCTGGCACTATAGCTCTGGTGCTCTGGCTCTGGCGCTGGCTCTCTGGCCCTGGTGCTCTGGATCTGGCTCTGGCGCTCTGGCTCTGGGGCTCTGGCTCTGGCGCTGTCCCACTCTGGCTCTGGCTCTTCTGCTCTGGCTCTGCTGCTCTGGCTCTGCTGCTCTGCCACTCTGGCTCTGGTGCTATGGCTCTGCTATGGTTCTGGCGCTCTGGCTCTGGCGCTCTGGCTCTGGCACTTTAGCTCTGGCGCTATGGCTCTGGCTCTGGCACTCTGGATCTGGCGCTGGCTCTCTGGCCCTGGTGCTCTGGATCGGGCTCCGGCTCTGGCTCTGGCTCTGACGCTCTGGCGCTCTCCTGCTCTGCTGCTCTGGCTCTGCTGCTCTGGCTCTGCTGCTCTGGGTCTGCTGCTGCTCTGGCTCTGGGGCCCTACGGCTCTGGCTCTGCTGCTCTGGCTGTGGTGCTATGGCGGTGGTGCTATGGTTCTGGGGCTCTGGCGTTCTGGCTCTGGCGCTCTGGCTCTGGCACTTTAGCTCTGGCACTATGGCTCTGGCTCTGGGGCTCTGGCTCTGTTTGCACTCAGGCTCTGGCACTCTGGCTCTGGCTTCAGTGCTCTTGCTCCATGCTCCTTTGCTCTGGCTCCTTCGCTCTGGCTCCTTCGCTCTGGCTCCTGTGCTCTGGCTCCTGTGCTCTGGCCCTGGCGCTCTGGCACTGGCGCTCTGGCACTGGCGCTCTGCTGGCACTCTGGGCTTTGGTGCTCTGGCCCTGGAGCTCCAACTTAGGCTCTCTGGCTCTGGCGCTCTGGCTCTGGCTTTGGCTCTGGCTTTGGCGCT